CATCCTCTCCTCTCTCCTCTTGTCATCTCCTATTCTCTTTCTTCACCCGCTCATCACCGCTTTGACGGGCTCTGCTCTGCTCTGTGTCTGCCGGCAGAATCCATTTTGCATGTGGCGTGTCTCTGTTCCCCCCTCCTCCGTCCCCCTTTTACCTTTCCCTGCTTATCATCCACCTCCCCTGCCCCCTCCCGTGTGGACCGGGTGGAGGCCTGAAGAGAGCAGAGGTGTCCCACTGTAGCGTTTAAATCAGTGTTTTTCAACCACTGTGCCTCGGCACACTAGTGTGCCGCGAGTGATGGTCAGGTGTGCCGTAGAAAATCATCCTATTTCACCTAATTGGTCTAAAAAGATTTTTTGATAAGGAATTAATTATCTGCAAATAATGTGCCATTTTTGAGTGTCTGTGCTGTTCTAGTGACTGGTGGCGTAATCATGTAATAATTCCTTATGACTAGGTTTTGTATATAATTTTGTATATTGAAGTGGACACGTTAAGTGCAATTTGAAAGAAGAAATATAAAATGGGATTTTGTGTTTATTTGATTCCTATTCAAGACACTTAGGATAAGATAAGAATAACTATAGTGTTACTATAGATATACTACAGATTTGTGTAACATTTTTGGTTGGTGGTGTGCCTCGGGATTTTTTCTATGAAAAAATGTACCTTGGCTCAAAAAAGGTTGAAAAACACTGGTTTAAAGCATCTGGGAGGGGTCTCTGATGTCAGGGGGCCATCACGCCAACGCCACAGACGCACATCAGAGGCCCCGGTGTGTGCGTCTCTCTGTGGATTGTGCGTGCTGCGCCCCCCCCGGGGTAGGGAATTTAAATCAGCCAACACAGAAAAACTGATACAGCGGAATATTTGAATATTTTCTTTCCCCTATCAGAAGCCGGGATATTAATGTGGGACCCGTGACTGAGCGGGTTATGCAGGGGGGCTCATGCCCTGAGACTTGAAGAGGCGCGGGAGCGCTTCCTAGTGCCGATTTGCTGCTACTGCGTGGAATAGAGACCGTCTGCTGAAGACTGGGGACGCCGAGATGACAAACCGTCATCGTTCCATGACCCAGTTTTAATGATTTCATCAAAAAATAATGAAAGCTAGCGTAGACATGTGAAAAACCTGTCAAGACCGGGAGACAAACTTGGTATTTTTCTCGATGCCGCTCGGCTTAGTTCAACAGTCGAGCTCTTCAAGTTTAATTCAAAGCAACAGATTTTTTTTTCCCCAACTCGTCTATTGGACTGATCTGACAGAGCTTTCTCTGTCTTGTCTTCATTTTAATGTGAAATAATAAGGCGGAATGCACGCAGCCAAAATCTGCAAGGATGTGAAATCAAATAGTTTGTTTTTTTAACCGTTTTTTCATCCAGATGCAAAAGGAATGGTGATCGGAATCGATAGAACTTTCCGGGCCTCTTTGGGCTGAGGAGCGAACGACGCCAACACGTGGAACGAATCTGCCTCACTTTATCTCCTTTAACATTCGCTGCGCTGGCTCGCCCCCATCTTAATGGAACAATGGCGCCGCATTACCAGCGGCTCATCCTTGTGATCCTGTCTCCCAGGGGGCCCGCTGGTGTGCGAATGTAGGTCGACTGCATCCGCATTTGGTGGGTCTGCCTGTTTGTTTAGAAGAGGGGCTTCGGTCGACTCGGTCAAAAAAAACGTGAGACGCCCTTCAGAAATCGCATTGTGACTGAGAAAATGGCAACTTTGACAGGTCAACTTTTTGGTTTTGTGCTATAAAGTGTGTGCGTTTACATCCAAATGCTACTTTTGCTATTTGGTTTGTTTGTTTATTTGGTTGTGTTTTTCTTTAGGAACTCAAAAAAAAAAGCCAAATCTGGTGGAAAAGGGGGGGGGCCTCGGGGGAGAAGAAGGTAAAACATGGATCTTTCTGGGAGATATGGATCCTGTGAATGGTCATTTTGAGTTCAAACCAAAGTCCCTCGGGCTCCCGAAAGAACACTGAATAGATTGTTTCGCGTTAGCTTTAAATCAATTAGTACTAGTCTCAGGCTGTATTTCAAACATTATGATGTAAGGGGACACGGACAGATAGCCATCTCTGTCCACGGCTAAGAAAAATGCTCTCGTCAAGCAGAAGTTGCAACGATCCTGATGAAAAAACCCTGAACCGCTAACCGCCGACTTGTTCCCCCTTTCTTTTGCAGCCGCAAATAAAACTTGCTAACTTTATGCATGCGGTTTCCAATCCCACAAAACGGGGATTTCAGGAATCCTCATTTGTAGGCACCGAAAACCACATTTAGCCTCACACAAACCCGCCCTCTTATTTCTGTCCTCCCTCCGACGGATCCGGGAGTTATTTGGGCCCGGTGCGATCCTAAGGTGGTGCCTGTTTGGGCTGTTTGCCCAGTTAAGCAATGGGTCCTAAGCCAGTTAAGTCAGCGTGAGCAGTAATCTGTCGTGCGCACATTTTTCTGATTTCAAATGTCGGTTTTCCAGCTTAGCTGAAAGAGCTCCTGGCTCCGGCTGCATATTAAACAAATGTATGCGACAGTGATTTCTATTATTTCACAGCGAGACAGTTAATCAGTCATTTCCCCCCAAAATGTCAGCCTGTTACTTTTTAATCTTTCAGACTTTCCTCCTGCAAAAACGTGAAAATTTCGCCTGCCGCGCACCAGAGAATTATCTCCATTTTGCAGGACGAGGAGCCTCTTGAACATCATTCGACATCTTTGCCGAAACTACCCCCACACCCCCAACCCCTTCCTTGTTTGATATCCTGACTTTGTCGGCTCATTCTTCACAGGCCGGGCGCAAACCGTGCAATGCGTCAAACTCCAAACATTTACCACAGGCACAATTTCAGATTGCACAACGCTGCACTTTTCCAGTCAGACAAATACGTTTCCTGAGCAGAGATTCTGACGTGGTGCCACATCTGGGCTTTTGCAAACAACGTTGTTTCCAGGAGAGAAAAAAAATCATTCATTTACTTAAACACACGGGCATTTTCTGAGCATCGACAAAAACCCTTTCTGTCCCATATCTCAGCTGCGACGCTGAGCAAAAAGGGGGGGTGGGGGGTTGTTTGGGGATGGGGGGGGGGGCGAAAGGCCTGCAATTTCTTTCTTGTCAGCGCTGTGCAGCCCAGGAGCGGCAACACGGCCCCTCGTTCCAAATGGATCAGCGGACGGTGATCAATTTGTCTCCTCCTTTGCATTTAACCATCTGCACATCCAATATCCGTCCTCTTATTCATCGGCGAGCTGCAGCACTCTCATCAGAGAACCGGCTGAAAGAACCCCCTCCAAAAGAGAAGAAGAAGACGAGAAAAAAAAGGAGGGGGGAAAAAAAAAAAGAAAAAGGGGGGCAGTGTGTTTGGAGCAGAGAGGAGCCTTATCCGTCCGACACAAAAGCTCCCTCTGATCCCTGGAACACTGTGAAGCCAGCCTCCTGCGCCCCGCGGGGCCAAGCAACAAATAATACCCATAATAGAGCATGTCTGTGACTGCTGGAATCCCCTGTGGCCTTAACTAGTCCAGCTCGTAGAAAGGCTGTGCCAGAGACGCGATGCCAGGCAGCGGCCTGGAACCAGCCAATTTATGGAGGCCCAAATCCCGAGGAGCCACGAACGATTCTCCCTCTTAGTTTTCATTCATTTCACCTGCTCCTGTAGGCCTCCTGCCTCCGTTCGAGACGGTGCAGGTCCTCCCTCGCGCTGCGTGGCGTCGCCCGCGGGCGTGAAGGAGAACAAGGCGGCGCCGGCTTAGATGAGGCAGATACAGAGCAACAACAACCGCTATCGACACGAGTAATAAGTCCCACGGCGCCGCTCCCCCTAAATAAAAAGTACAGCAGCACTTCCCGCTCCGCTCCCCCGAGCTCCCCCGCACAGCTCCCGCCCAGGAAAACTGGGAATCTGACCCCAGAAATGAGGCAATTACATTTATGCTGTTTCTTTTAAAAAAAACCTTAAGAAAGCAATCAAAGTTGGTAGAATGCAACATGAGAGGAGCAGGAGAAAAAAAAAAAAAGGGGCCGTTTTTAGCGGGTGGCGCTTCGGAAACGTGACTGTGCCAGATTTGTGGCCTCAAAGCCGAGCGCTGGGAATTTGAAAAGGACCCCCGGCGGCTTGCTGGCGTTTCCAACTGGGTCGATCCGGCGCATGGCTCCACAGCGCCCCCCCGTGGCGGATCTGGACGACGCAAGACAAGACCTAGTGGATTCCACCTGCGCTTTTATTTTTCCGTATGCAGCTGCGTTCAAACATACACAGAGATACATGACAAAATAACACTGGCTGAACACTTTGTTGGCTCACTTGCGACATAATCAGTCTGTACAATAAAAGCTCACGAGGGCAGGGAGGGGTCTGCGCCTCGCCGTGGTTTCGGGGCCTTAAAGCAGCAGCAGGATCCCCCTCATCCGACCCGGGAACCCGGAGGTGTGCGCGCGTCTTCTTACATTACATAACGTTTGAAATGAGCTATATTTTCCCTTTCCCCGGTAACCTATGACATATGAGTGTCAACCCCTAGCTGCCGGAGGTTATATTTACCCTCTACGCATTCTGCCATGTGCCATGTGTTTGAGCTATTCACGGATGCGTTATTTATAAGAGCGCGTTGGAGATTCGCTCATGGCGCTTTGCTCCGAATACTTCAGGGAGGCCATGAACCCTCCACTCACATTTTTCTCATTTGAAATATTGTGGTAAAAAATAGATTAATATAATAATAATAATAACTAAAAAAAACTTGTTTGTTAAATGATCCTCAAATGTTTTCCACCCCCTCCCAACTAAAGGCATTTCAGAAGGGAATGCCGGTGCTGATTGGACGTCGCACATTGGCTTCGGCTCAGACGCCAAAAGTTTGAAGAGCCCCAAAAACCTGCAAGCCTTTTCCCTAAGAGACGCCTCTGAAAGCGGTGTGCGCCTGGCATGAGCGGGTCCACAGCTTAGGGATCATGACATGAGACAGAGCGATGCGATAGAAACAAAAACAAGTCGACTAAAAAAAAAAAAAAAAGACGATTTAAAAAAAAAAAAAAAAAAAAAACCAAGGAAGCAGTTTTTTTTTTCCTGGGTCGCGGCTCCTGTTCCACGTTTGCTAACGGCTTCAGGAGACAAACGGCCCCTGCACAGGAATCTGGCCGCTCCTTTTAACTCGGGTCTACGTCCGTGTACCCCGTTTCCCCCGCTGGTTCCAACAGGGACCCAACACCCCCACCACCACCCACCGCCACCGTCCAGCCGGTCCTGCTTTTGGTCCTCTCAGCGCGGGCGCCCAGCGCTCAGCTCTCCCTCGCGGTGCCGCCCCTCCGCTCACACGTTCATCTTCTTCAGCTGCTCATAAGTGAGGAAGAACTGAGGGTGGAGTGAAGGAAAATAGGAAAACAAAAGAGGGCCCTGGTGTTCGCTACCTACTCTATTCATCCCATCTTTCAGGACCTGATGGAGCACCTTTACATCTCTAATTAGGGCTTAACATTTGCCGGAGGGATTTTGTAAAGTTCTCTTTGCTCTGGGAGCAGCGGGGAAAACAAAGCAGTACTCTCTCAAAGTTATATAAAAGAGTTAGCTGGCATTAAGCTAATCTTTACCCTGAACAGCAAAACAGAACTCCACAGCATTTCCCAGCCCTCGTCTCCACATGAGAGCAGGTTATATCACACAGGCGGCACGTCGGTGGGTGAAAGGATACGATGATGTTCCAGGGTCCCAGGCGGAGCCAGTTGGGGAAGAAGCCTTTGTAGAGCGCCATGAAGCCCTCCGAGCGCCACGTCTGCGAGAGGCAAGAAACAAAACCAGCTGAAAAAACTGTTTCGTGTCAGATTATTTCTGCTCCACCGTCCTCTTAGGGTGTTTCCCCCCCATCAGATATTCAGCATACCTCTGTGGCCTAAAGGTTCAACCCACGCTAAAACCGTATTCAGACAAAGGTGCAACTTTCATGGAAACTCAGGGGCAAGTTACTCAGATCAAGGAGGGGATGAATAAAGTAAAAAGAGATTTTGACAGCTCTCGTTATGTTAACGTCACAACTTGTTACACACACAAGAGCATATAATTGCAAATGTGGGTGTGTATGTTGCTTTCAAAGTGACACTCCAGCTATTCTTAAACTCTATAGGGGTCATATAAAGATGAAGACCAGCATCAGAGCCCTAAACTGATCTTAATAAATAAAAAATAAATCGAATGCGGTTTGTCATTAAACCAAACACCTTTTCAGATGAAAGCCATATCTGTTCAGACAAGCATATGAACATGAGTGTCTTCCCACAGAAACAAGCCCGCAAACATGAAATTACCGACAATTATCCATTAAGCCTGCCTGTGTTCAGGCTGAGACTTGCTTGGATGCAGACATTACAACAGAAGAAGGTGGAGCAGCACAGCTTAAGGGCAATTTTCACAGTTTTCAGATGGAGGGTGGGGAGGCCCATCCTGCTGGCGCTAAAATAAGAAAAGGCACAGCAGAAAGCGGACGGGCATCCAAAAGCATGCGGGGCTACACACCGGCCGCAGCCAAAGTCCTGCCCATTTGCACGAGTTTGTAAACTGAGAGCGCCACCGGCAGAAGCCCTATGCCAGCGTGTTCACAGTCTGCCCTCAGGGCTCCTGGCTGACCTGCAGCAGACAGTCCAGCGTTCCCTGGTACAGAGCTCCGCCCCTCTGGTTCATCATGCGTGTCCGGACCACATCCACCGGGTTCGAGGCCAAAGCGCCGGCCAGGCCGCACGCAAAGCTGGATCTGGAGAGCAAAGAGCACAGGATTTCGGAGGAGTTCTAAAAATAAAGACAGGTTTCTCCTCAGGACTTGGGCTGACTCTGGCTGTTTAAATGATTTATTAAAAGCTTTAGTCTCTTAACTTATCTTGAAAGGAATAAAAAGAAGAAAGAAAACAAGACATTTAAGTTGAACTAGTCCTGAGCCAAACCATGATTTAACCCCATCCTTAGGCATGCTGTCCAGACTACATTTCTCCATCTTGAACCCTTCTGAATTTATTGAAATTCACCAAACTATTCCCCATAAGTGACGACGTCCCAGGGAGGCAGCTGACTAACACTCACATGAAGTGTGTGTACACGGTGTCCCCCATGCAACCCGATAGGATCAGGTGCTTCTTTGTTATGTCGTAGACTGGAAGCTCCACTCCCACGACGATGGCTGCTCTCTGGGCCGTTAGAGAGACTCCCTGACGCAGACACAGACACAGAGAGAGGCTTCAATTAAGTTTGGCCGTCTAAAAACACCAGCGTCTTCCTTCCCAATGGAGGCTACCTTCCACAGTCCTCTTGTTCCCTCTTCCTGGTAGATGTTGATGAAGTTGCCCATCATACTTCCCTGGATCACACTCCCCTGAGCTTGCATCCGGATCTGAGACAACACACACACGTCAATTTTTAGTCAAACTACTGTGAATGGGTCCGATTATTCATGTGGGTGTGCAGAGCAAGATTGTTTTATAGTTTTTCTTTTGTGTCAGAACATATTCTCTGGTCCTCGCATGAGGTCTTTTTTTTTTCTGCTTTAGCAGTTCGGCTTTGGTCCGTTTCCAGGCTCAAGGGCGGCCCGGCAGGTACATTTCGTGCACGTGGCCGAGGAACAAAATGTTCGGAACCCGCGCGGGCCTGGTAACCCTTAGAAACACGCACTGATGGAGCGCCAGGGCAAAACGTTACCAGTGCAGATAGGCACCGTCGGTCACGCTGCCCCTATCAGTTGCAGAACATCATGTTCAGCCTCGGGAGGTCTGGGTCTATAAATAATCCAAAAGTGGGGTCACGACAGCGTCGAGACAGCGGCTCGCGCCGTAAGACTAAAGCTGTGTCCCAGACCTGGCAGGAATCTTTAGGGCCCGCCTCTCCAAAGGTTGTTAGACCTGAACTACTGCTTTAGACACAGGTTTCACGAGGACACCGGCGTAATACGACAACGTTAGTGTTTACAAACACGCACCTTTAGCACGTCAGTGGGGTTGGCGATGGAGGAGGATATGACTCCAGAGAGGACACCACACAGCACATTCGTGAGCAAAGTTTCATCTGAAAGAAAATAAGGAACGAATACAATCAGATATGGCTTTATGCTTAACTTTGTGTTACTTTTAATGGAATGAGCTGAGAGTGAGGGGAGCCATGTTTAAAGGGGTCAAACAAAAATATCTGTGACCTTGAAGAGGAATGTGCACGCTTTAACAGCCTGGAGCAGCGCTGCGTGGTGTGCAAACAGCGAACGCGTGCCTTTCAGAGACCAGGAAGAGGAACTGGCCCTCACCTTCTGGTCTGTCCACAAGCAGTCGCTTAAAACTCTGGTAGGTGCCAATTTTAATGGTCCCGTAGGAGGCCTGGCGCAGCATGGCTGGAGCGATTCTGGGAAAAAACAAAAGAAACAACAACATTTAAACGTTTAATTAGGTCGCAGAATTATCATATCTAAGATTTGAGCTTATCAGAGACGATTCTGTTGTTTCACAAAGCAAAGGGACCCTTAATTATTGATGAAGACGACCCTCAGACAACCCTCCACCCCCTCAGATGGGCTTAGACACAAATTTAAACCCGGAAAAGGAGAAGTGCAAAAAGAAAAGGAGGATGTTCTCATAAGAAATTAGATGGACCCGAATACAAATGTATTTAGGGTACAAAACAGCGGAGGTAAGACACTTTTCGCCGTGTAAAGTGAACCCACTCACCCCGAGTATAGCGCCCGGAGCCCCTCCTCTCTTCCGATCCTCATCATGGCATGGAGCATGCCTCTGTAGCGAATCTCCCGGTATTTGATGTCCCCCACTTGGCCCTGGACCTGAAGACGCGTCTTGGCTAGGTCGATTGGAAAGGTCCCTGCAACACGGGAGGGATAAATAGGTCATTTCGAACCGTCTGAATAGAAAACCAGGTCGCGAACGGTTGAGCGTGGAGGAGCCGGGCGGCCTGCCGGTGCACCACTCACCGCATTCCGCCGTCACGGAGGCCAGCCCGCCGAAAACGAAGGGTTTCCAGTTGAGGTTCGACATTTTTTCCTCCGGCGTGAACCAAGACGCTTCGAGAACCTTCTGACAAAAGCCCCTAACACGCCGCAAATGCTCTTAGGGCTCAGCTGAGCGGGTGTCAGGTTCCGCCAGGGTTTATAGCGTCCTGCCCCACGTCCTTACTCCGACAGGCGGACTCCGAAGGCGCAGAGCTCCGCCTGCTTGCCGCTCCTCCACCGGCTGCTCTCTTCCTTGTTCCCGCCCACTGACCGTTGCCAGGCAACCGCGCCGGAAAGTACTACGGAGGAATCCACGAGATCTTAAAGGGGCAGAGCACGGCAAATTTTAACAAACTAAAACTGTCCCCAGTAGACACTTAGTTAAAGTTATATTATAACTTCGGATTCAGATACCATCCTTAACCATATTGGGTCATTTATAACTTGTATTCGCATAGAAATAGTCATTAAAATAAAAGCACCATGCCTCTGACCGCATTCATATGAAACGCCGCACACTAAAGAAAACTGAAATTGAAACCGAAACAACCAAAACCATGTCAATAAGGTTGTGGTTGTTTTTTGTCCCCTGTCGACAACCTTTGAAAATGTTTGACATAGTTTTGAACCAAACTGCTATCATTTTTTGTGTGTGTGTGTGTGTGTTTACATTTAGGTTAGGGTGATTTTCATGGCTGAGCTGCAATATTGACATGAGCAGGGGTCCTCTCACTCTTTGGACCCCTGGCCAAGTTGTGTGTTGGTCAGCCTTACCAAGGTTGGGAGGATAGTTTAATTGCACAAAATGTAACGTGGAGGAAACATTGTACAAAGTCAAATGAAAAGTAAAGCCCCCCATGGTCACTTTTAGGGTTTTTTCTTATCATCCTGTAACAAAAGCTGAGTCTAAATGCAGATACAGTGGTTAAACATTAAGCCCACTTCTACTACTTTCACGTGCTGTGCTGATAATCAAACACACTTCGTTTACTGATAGTCATCAGGTGGGAACACTTCTGTGAAAGCGGAAAGTTAGGCAGGGTACTAATCTGGATCATTCAGGTGTGGTAACACCTTGAGTAGGAGGACTGAGCTATTGTTTGAACTGGTCAGAAGGTCATTTTGAAACAAACTAATTCCATTATTTTGAAGTGAGAAAGATTATCCACAGTCAGGAAACAATTCAGAGAATTGTTACTCTTCCCTGGAATTGACATCCCTGCAAATTTATCCTTTAGCCACAGGAGGTGGGCACCTTGCAGTTTTCTAGTCCACTGTGAACTACTCTGTGTAAAAAAGCATTCTACAGTCAAATATGAGGCCATCTTCAAGCTAAAGACGGATGACAGATCCACAACAGAATGTCTGAAGAAGAAAAGAAGATGCCATGGCCACCCATTTCATGTCTAGAACTGAACTTGTCGCTGCGTTGCAGAGAAAGAAAAGCAAATTAAATTAGTTTTGCTGAAAGTTTTACAGGCTGCAGAATCCTGGGGTTTCCTTTTCTTTTACACACTGCATCTTTAACTGAATCCTGACTTGGTTTTTCATCTGTAGATGTGGACCAACGAAAAAAACAGCAAACGCTTGATTTCTTTGTTGTGAGGTTTAGAACGAACAATATCGACTGGTTTGATGTACAAAGCCACACAGCAGCTTAAAAGAAATACACAGATTCTCATTTTAACTTTAATTATTTAAACTTGTATGTTTTTTAAAGGCTTTGTTGGCTCTAGAGGTCTTTATTTCAAAGTGATACAACAGAGAGTGACATTGAGCAGAGTTTAATCAAGCTCCCTTTATTTACATGTCTGCCTGAGGAAGTCAAGTCAAGTCAAGTCAAATTTTATTTATAGAGCACATTTAAAATAACCAAAGTTGCCAAAGTGCTGTACAGGTAAAAATAAACATAAAAAGCGAACATAATTTACATACATATATGTGATTTTAATGTAAAAATAAAGAGGTAAAAAGGTAAAAGTTAAGTCTGTACCATAACAGGTACAGGATGAATTCTATAGATAAGTCAAGATCGTGACAATTCCTGAACTCAGTGGCTCTAGCTGAATTTTAACAAGAGCTCATTTCCACTTGAAAAATGGTCCAAATCACCTACAGCATTTCCATTTGACTAAATACGAGGAACATTTGAGGCTTTCAACAGGAACGGTTGCTCTCTAAATGTCCTCTCCTCCTGGATCTTTGTATACATTCCCCTGGATATCACCTCCATGTTTAGTCAACACCATTACCCTCATTTTCCTGTCTACATTGTGCTTCTTGACATTGTCAGCTGAAGTGTATCCTTGTACCCTTCACCCTTCATGTCCCTCTGTTGTAAAATTTTTATTTCCTCATGTAAGGCTGGTATAAACGGCACCATTAATGCAGTGAGTAATTCACTCCACAGTGTGGAATACTATAAAAGAGTATAAGCTCAGGGACATTTTATTTTTCTTTGAAGATGTTGGTTGAGATTTTCAATCACCCATGATAAGAACTTGAATCACAACGAATAGACAAATTTTTTAAGGTTTTTTCAACTCTCATTCAAAAAAAGAGATTTTCTGTGTGAACCTGCTGAATGGACATTTTGGATTATTTGGGTTGAACAATTTGCTGTCCTCTGAGGTCAGTTGTGTTGTTAATGGGTTCGAAACCACCTTTGGAGGAGAGTAAATGGTGTATTATAAAAGGGAGGGGGATGTCTGAGACTGCCTATAGAGGTCTCCAGGTTGATCATTTTGATCTTATGTTGAAAGAAAGCTTTCGCGGAGCTCAACAACATGCACAATGTGGACAGAGAAGATGAATGGTTTGAGAGATGAATCAAAGAAAACTGCCACGCCCCAAATAGAGAGGATACAATAAGTTTTCAGATGGAATGAAATGGTCGAGTCCAACAGTACATGAATAAGATGAAAAGCATTCCTATTAACATAATACAAAAGGTGGAATGGTGGATCCATCCATCCATCCAGTCTACCATAAAGCATCACTTAACCGCACAAAACAACATCGGACTCAAGCCACAGAGGCCAGTTGTTGTTATGTCACTCACTGACTTGATATTGAAATATACAATCCCCAACATTTATGGCATTTTGTGACAATTTAGGGCTGAGATTAGGAAAAGATCAGAAGCTTAGAATTCTTAAGCCCGAGTCAGCATCGAAATGAAGGCACGGCAAGTTTATCTGTATAGCACATTTCGTCTATAAGACAATTAAAAATGCTTCACAAAGAATTCAAAAGCAGAAAAACAAAAAAAGAATCAACAATTAGAAAATTTAGAGAATAGTGAATGGTGCAGATAAAATACATTCAGTTTCCACATGCACAGTTAAACAGAAGTGTTTTCAGCCTGGATTTAAACATTGTCTGAGTTGGGGCCTATCTCACGTCTTCAATCAGGAAGACTGTTCCAGGTTTTAGGAGCCTGGAGCTGAAATAAAGCTTTACGTTCAGTCGGATGATTTACGGTTGTAGTTTCGCGTCTCTGCCACTAGATGGCGGAACAACACCACGGTCACGCTGTAAACCCGCCGCTTGTCAGCGTCCTGTGACGGCCGCAGGCTGCCTCAGCATCCCAAATAAACCTGCTTCACCAGTGAACTCAGACACCGGCCACACTTCGCCTACATTTGCAGAAAAGCGTTTGGTTTCAACTAGATGGATGAGCTGCAAGGGGAAAAGGCACCAGCCTCATCTTATCCGCTCACCATCACTTTTGTCCTTCTGGACTCCGTTTGCAGGATTTGTTCTTCTGACTGCAAGACGTTTCCCCCCCCAGAACATATTCATCATGATCATATGCTAGTTGTATTACCAGATTAATGGGTTTGTTATGGGTCAGTAACCCCGGAATTGCCACCGGTACATTATTAACGACCAGGACAGAGAGGAGATCCGTGCGCCTTCTGTGCGCATTCCCGCATCCTGAGTGTGCGTGCGTGCGTGTGTGTGTGTGTTGCGTGCACAAGGTTGCGTGCGAGGCACGGCATCGACGACCGGAAATAGATGAATGGAAATATTGCAGTTTTATCTGAAACCAATAAGCACAGGGGGAAGTGTGGCGCGCCTAAAAATGGCCACATTTAATGTGGTGATTTGTCACAAGAGAGGCCGAGAAGAGAGCCGAGGTAGAAGAGGGGGAGACATATCTGTGTTTGGTGGTCTACGAAATGAAAGTGAGAGTGCGCCCCTGGCCATTTGTTTGACTTGGATTCCCAGTCACTTTTGGGTCTCTGTAAGACTGCGGGGAGACAAATGGCCGTAGAAGTTGCTCAGAAATTCTTGCAAAACTCCTTCAAGTGAGACATCAACGGGGCTGTGTGTTTTAATGATGCAAAGGCAGCTTGTGTTCATCGCTTTCTGCACATGATTGGGTTGATCTTCTGGGCAGAAAATGCATCCTAATGCTTCTGTGTCAGTTGTTTTCTGCTTGCTGAGAGGGACTGGAGGAACATCGCACTAATGTCACTGATTATCACTCGGCTAGTCTCTCCCGGGAGGAGTGTGTATGCGTTTGTTATTCCACTGTGACAATAAACTAAGCCAACTTGGTCACAGGACTGTGATGTACACAGTCTGACCTGGAATGGATGGACAAAGCAATGTCATTGAACCCCTTCTTCAAGATGATAACAAACTAAGAGGTTCAACCGTGATTGCATCATGGATTTAGGCGGAACTCTAGAAGAATAGAGTTTGTGTTTGTCTGATACAACAAAAAGCACTTTAAACATTGTAAACTACTGCAAATCACTGCGTGCTTATTCACATTCAACTCGATTATTATCAGCAGTTTGAAGACTTTCCGCCAAAGTGGACATTTGTACTTATCTCCCCCATTTTGTTGTGTTTATTGTTCTGTAAGCTGGGAAGGTTTATCTGGACATTCTACTCAAACTGTTGATGGAAACGTAGGCATTAAGTTGTCTGATAGGAAAGGCCTTGATGCAGAACCAAATCAAAGTTAAACCCTTGTGCACAGAGCAACTAACCTATCCTGAAGAGTTTAAGCCATTCTCCTCTTTTTACAGAGCCTGTCGGGTTTTTTGCAAACATTCAGATGCACTGTGATTTGAAAACCAGAGTTCAAATAAGAGCAAAATCCATGACCGAAAATCAGTCCAACCAACTAAAAAGTTCCATGACGATTGGAAATGATCTGATGGGTCAGATGAGAACCAAAGCAAGCTCCGGTGGACAGTTAGGCTGACCATAGACAAACTTAGATGTTCTGGTTATCCGTTACCTGACTGGAAGATGTTTGTCTTGGCAATAACAAGAGGTCTTGCCTTGATTTTTGTAGTCTACCATAGGAAGTCCACCCTCTGTTTCACAGAGGGTTGGGGCATAGGAGAAAAGCTCCTGTATTAACTGTTAACTGAATAATCT